TAACTGAAGAAAAATTGACAAAATTAAAGGGAGAAACAGTCAATTATGTAATCATAATTAGAGATTTTCACATTCCTTTCAAAGAAATATATAAAACAAGAAAAAAATCAGTAAAGACATAGATGACAAAACAACCACCTTGACCTAACTGATATTTATAAAACACTATACCCAACAACTGAAAAATATGTATTCTGTACACCAAGACAGACCATATTCTGAGCCATACTATATCTCAATAAACTTATAAAGACTGAAATCATACACAGTATGTTCTCTGAGTTCAATGGAATTAAATTGGAAATCAATAACAATAAGATATCTAGGAAACCCCCAGATTTTTGGAAATTAATAACACACTGCTAAATAATCCATGGGTCAGAGAAGAAATCACAAGGAAAATTTTAAAATATTTCAAATTGAATGATAACAAAAGATGTGGAATGATGGTCCCAATATATCACCAAGTAATAAGTGGATTAAAATAAAATGTACAGTATTGATCTATTTTTATTGTTAAAAATAAGCTGTGTATGTATAACTAGAAATATGGCTACAAAAAATATGTGCTAACAGTGACACATTTTACTTTTGCAATTTAAAAAATTTAATGTTAAGTGAGCCCTGAGTGCTCATTATGAGTAATTCTTTTCCTTTTTGCCCTACCTGCATCTTCCAAATGCTTGATTTTTGAACATTTATTTTTGTTTCAATGACTATATTTTCATTTTTTATAATTTCTATGCATTTCAGAATTTTCAAATTCATCTGTTCTTTTTCATTATCTCCAACTCTTGCTTTATGGATTTCTTCCTTTATATCTTCAAATATTTAAATTTTACTTTAAATTTTTTATTACAGAAAATTTCAAATATATAAAAATTTAGAAAAATCATGTAATAAACCCTCATATATCCATCATGCCTTCAACAGTTATGAAATGCTTCTCAATAAATGATTTTGAAGCAAATCCCAGTTCATATCATTTTATCCATAATATTTCAGTATGTATTTGTAAAAAATAAACTACTTATAAACATAACCTAAACATAATGGTCACACCTGAATTTTTTAGTAATGTATTTGTTGGGTCTATGAATTATTTCTGTCTTGGTACTGAATTTGCTTTTGTGTTTATAATGTTTCTGTGAAATTATCTTCAAAGGGAATCATCTTTTGTGAGAATCCTGGCATTGTAATGGGGATCTCCGTATGGGTGGTTTCTAAAATACATACATCCTCCTTACCTGAGTCTGAACTATTCAGGAAAACATTGAGTAGCAGAAGCCTACAGCTTATTATATTTTGTGGGAAAATAATAATGTATTCCTAGCCCATATTCTAAAACTCAATCAATTTCCCCAAATATTACTAAAACACTTTTAAAAACTATGTGACAATCTACCAAGAATTTCTGCATAACAGAAAACACATAAAACACCAATTACCTATTTATTTTAATACTCAATGAACTTATAGTGGTGTGAGTGTAAGCAGTTTATAATAATAATGTATCTCATTTGATAAGAATTACATTTCCTTTTACACTGCAAAAAGCACTTGCTATAATGTAAATAGGATTTCTGCTTCCAACCATGTATGAGCAAGAAGATCCAGAATTACTCTCATCCTATAAACCAACAGGAAACTAGATAAAATATGTAAAATTGTTTTAGGATACTGGACAACAAGTAGAGTAGGATTATTTCTCCTGAGAAAAAGGAAACAAACAAGGTAAGCCTGACCATCACATTGACTTTCTTGTTGGAGGCAATTTCCAGACCACAGTGCAGGGAGGGGGAACCCAGACATATAGCCCAAAGGTTACTCTAAGTTGAGAAGACAGATCAAAGCTCAGGTAGGCGGGAGTGTCTAGAATTTGCAGAGCAATACACCAAAGAAGAGGGAGCTAACCAAACAAGAAGCTCTAGAAATCTGTATAGTAGTTCCCCTGAGTCTTTGGCAGAATACTGGCTTGCACACATACATAGGGTAAAATTCCACAAGGCCAGAAAACAAATTTTAAGGAAAAGGTAATTATCATTAGCTGTAAGTTTTTAAAAGTTCATAAAGCTAACGCAAGGCTGGGAATCTTTCAAGCCTCCAACAGCTGGAGTAGGGAGAACTCATTTAGTACATAGGGCATTTAGTGGAAATCCCAGAAGGATCACATCCCTTAGGAGTGGGACTAAACTAGCCCTACAGTAATGGCTACTCTAGAGCTACCCCTGAAAAGCTTAAAAACAGGCCTAAAAGGGATGAAACTGTTCTGTAAGTAACTTACTAACTGCCAAAATAAAGTCTAAAACTTTTTAAAGGAATATAAAAAAATCCAGCACTCAGCAAATGAAACCACAATGCCCATCCAATCAAAAATTACTAGACACATAAATAAGTAGGAAAATGTGATGCAAAACTAGAACAGAATTAAGTCAAGAAAAACAGACCCAGAAATTACAGAAATGATGAAGTCAGCAGACAAGAATGCTAAAACAGCTATTATAAATATGCTAAATTTGCTCAAGGACTTAAAGAAAAACTTTAAGGTAATGAATAGAAAAATGGAAGATAAGAAGAAATACATACATCCAAATGGAACTTGTAGTGATGAAAAATACAATAAATGAGATGAAAATATCACTAGATTAGATTAACAGCAGATTAGATAGTACAGAAGAAAAGATCAGTGAACTTGAGGACATAACAGTAGAAACTATCATAGTGGATACAGAAACTAAACCTTTCACCTGAAACTCCAAATAACTTAAATGTTTTCAATAGCAGTTACATGTAGACTCATTACAGCAGATTTCCCATTTGGATAGGAAGTTTCAGTAAAATCTAAATATTTGTCATACCAAATATTCATATAGTCAATACAGAAATACAAGTATGCTGAGATCTTGTGTGGTTTACTCGTTCCAAACCAGTGTTTGTTTCTCAGTATGGCATATGTAGTGCCAGCTGAGACCACAAAATACATTTGGCTCAGAATTCAGTCTCTTAAAAGAGACTACTGACCTGAAGCCTGGGGCAGCAGGCAGCTCAGTTCCAGGCTAGGATTCTGAGCAGAGAGCAGAGTGGCATTTTTCAGACTTGTAGCCTTGGAAAGGAGCCCAGTTCCTACTCCATGAATGGGTCTTCACATGGATACCTACACTCTTGGGGATGTTAAAATTCTTGCCTCTAAGGCATACATTTGGTCCAAAATCCACCCCTTGATCCAGAAATAAAGAGGTCTGTGTGGGAAGGAGACACCTCAAATCTTCCTTACACTATGGGTCCTCTCTTCATTTTTGGTACTTGGTGACGTCCTCTTCTTGTACTTGAAACCAGCTATATATGTCTTTAATGTTTAAATATTTTATTCAACATTTCTAAAGTTTTGAAGTAGAAAGGAAAATTCTTATATCTGCTCAGTTTGTCTTCTCAACCAGAAGTTCTAGATACAACTTTTGTAATAGGAAGATAACCAATAAGAGTACTATCAAAAGATAAATTAAAAAAAGCAGCAGCAATAGTCAAAGAAGTTGTCTCCATGCTCTAGTGAATTCTGAGAAGAAAAGTAATCCCAATTTTGTTTTGAGAATATTAATGGGGGAATTCAGGGCACTCAAAAAAAAGAATATTAATGGGAACTAAAATAAGGGTCTGAGGATTGAGAATCTGAACTTGACCTTCAAAAAGAAACATTACTCTCTCAAAATTGTATAATAATAATCTAAGAATATTAATGGGGGAATTCAGGGCACTCAAAAAAAAGAATATTAATGGGAACTAAAATAAAGGTCTGAGGATTGAGAATCTGAACTTGACCTTCAAAAAGAAACATTACTCTCTCAAAATTGTATAATAATAATCTAAAAAAAAAAAATAGCTTACAATATCACATTGTTTTCATTTTGATAAAACTATATTTTTACTAAGTATTATTTTTCAAAACATATTTTATCACTCCTACATTGTATCTATTCAAAATGTAATTTGTCATTCTGATATTATTTAAATAATAAAATTACCTCTGTGTTTATTCAGAAGCTTGTAGCCTTCACAATATCTGCCTGATGAAGTCATCATCGTGGCTGTGTCAAGATAAGAGTATGTTGCAGCAAAATCAAACTCCTTTTTACCATCCCACCAACCTTTCTGCTTAGCATAGTTTCTCATGCCTGGGTGTTCCTGATCAATCTTGGTTGTTATAGAAAGCTGATTAGAAATATTACGAACTCCCTCTATTTTAAAAGAAGAAGCAGAGAAGGAAAAAGAAAAGTTACATTTAACATAAAATATTTATCTGTACATTATGATTCTTAATCACTATTTAAATGTAAATACAAACTTCTAAATTTTGTGCTATGTGCATTTATTGAATATTCAAATGATAAATNTCCTTACACTATGGGTCCTCTCTTCATTTTTGGTACTTGGTGACGTCCTCTTCTTGTACTTGAAACCAGCTATATATGTCTTTAATGTTTAAATATTTTATTCAACATTTCTAAAGTTTTGAAGTAGAAAGGAAAATTCTTATATCTGCTCAGTTTGTCTTCTCAACCAGAAGTTCTAGATACAACTTTTGTAATAGGAAGATAACCAATAAGAGTACTATCAAAAGATAAATTAAAAAAAGCAGCAGCAATAGTCAAAGAAGTTGTCTCCATGCTCTAGTGAATTCTGAGAAGAAAAGTAATCCCAATTTTGTTTTGAGAATATTAATGGGGGAATTCAGGGCACTCAAAAAAAAGAATATTAATGGGAACTAAAATAAAGGTCTGAGGATTGAGAATCTGAACTTGACCTTCAAAAAGAAACATTACTCTCTCAAAATTGTATAATAATAATCTAAAAAAAAAAATAGCTTACAATATCACATTGTTTTCATTTTGATAAAACTATATTTTTACTAAGTATTATTTTTCAAAACATATTTTATCACTCCTACATTGTATCTATTCAAAATGTAATTTGTCATTCTGATATTATTTAAATAATAAAATTACCTCTGTGTTTATTCAGAAGCTTGTAGCCTTCACAATATCTGCCTGATGAAGTCATCATCGTGGCTGTGTCAAGATAAGAGTATGTTGCAGCAAAATCAAACTCCTTTTTACCATCCCACCAACCTTTCTGCTTAGCATAGTTTCTCATGCCTGGGTGTTCCTGATCAATCTTGGTTGTTATAGAAAGCTGATTAGAAATATTACGAACTCCCTCTATTTTAAAAGAAGAAGCAGAGAAGGAAAAAGAAAAGTTACATTTAACATAAAATATTTATCTGTACATTATGATTCTTAATCACTATTTAAATGTAAATACAAACTTCTAAATTTTGTGCTATGTGCATTTATTGAATATTCAAATGATAAATAACTTCTTAAAATTCATTTTTTGGGGCCAGCCCGGTGGCGCACTGCTACAGTGCGCCGCTTGAGAGCACAGCAGCGCTCCCGCTGAGGGTTCGGATCCCACATACAGACCGGCCGCTCACTGGCTGAGCGAGGTGCAGGAGCAACACCGAGGGTTGCGATGCCGTTGCCGGTCCCGGTCCGGTACGGGCGCAACACTGAGGGTTGCGATCCGTTGCCGGTCACGAAAAAAGACAAAAAGGAAAAAAAATAATTCATTTTTTTATCTTGAGATAATTGTAGATTCATGTGTAGTTATAAAAAACAGTACAAGGAGATACTGTATACCCTTTACCCAGTTTCCCCCAATGATAACAACTTGCAAAACTATAGTGTTATATCACAACCAGAATATTGGTATTGATAGTCAAGATAAAGAATACTTGCATCACAAGGCTCCTCATGCTGCCCTTTTATAGCCACACCCACTTTTCTCACTTCCCCACCCCTCATTAACTGCCGGCAGCCACCCTGTTCTCCATTTCTATAACTGTCATTTAAAGAATGTTATATAAATGGAATAATTTTTTACTCAGCATAATTCTGAATATTAATCCAGATTACTGCATGTATCAACAGTTCACTCCTTCTTACGGCTGAGTGGTATTCCATGGTATGGATGTACTACAATTTGTTTAACCATTCACAAGTTAAAGGATATCTTAGTTGTTTCCAGTTTGGGGCCATCATGGAAAAAGCTGCTATAAATATTTGTGTAAATGTGTTTTTATTTGTCTGGGATAAATGCATGGGGTGCAAACACTGTGTCGTATGGTAGTTGTATGTTTAGTTTTTCAAGAAACTGCCAAACTGTTTTCCAGAGCGGCTGGCTGTACATTTTTACTAGCAGTAAATGAATGTTCCAGTCTCCACATTCTCACCAGCATTTGGTGATATAATTATTTTTTATTTTAACCATTCTGATAGAGGTCCACTGATATCTCACTGTGGTTTTTATTTGCATTTTCCTAATGGTTAATAATGATGAACATCATTTCATATGCTTATATGACGTCTGTATATCCCTTTAAGTGAAATGTCTCTTCATACCTTTTGCCTGTTCTCTAATTGGATTGTTTACTGTTGAATTTTGAGTGTTCCTTATATATTCTAGATATTAGTATTTTCTATAAATTACTTTTAAAAGATAATCATAAATAAGTTTAGAACAGATATATAAGGTTTCCAAAAAACTTATAAACAGAAACTGTTAAAAACTAAGTTATAGGGCCGGCCCAGTGGCACACTGGAGAGTGTGCCACTTGGGAGCGCGGCGGCACTCCCGCCAAGGGTTCGGGTCCCATGTGGAGACTGGTTCCCGCTCACTGGCTGAGCGCGGTGCGGGCGCGACACCAAGGGTTGCGATCCCGTTACCAGTCAGTAAAAAAGACAAAAAGGAAAAAAAAAAAAACTAAGTTATAAACAAAACTTTCAGCTAAAATCCAAAATAGAAAAAATAAAAGCCTGTTCTAAAGAGATCATAGTAGATAAAAGAGATCATGATAAATGAAAATTGGTAATGTTTTAAAACTGACTTAGAAGAACTGTCTGCCAAGTACAAACAATTAAATTACTCTAATTGAGTCATACTTGGGATTTTCTCGGTACAAAAACTCAACTTGAGTCATAATAGAATCACAGACAGAGAAGAGGAATTTTCCATCTAATAGATAATTCCCTACAGTTTAACAATTTCGTTCTTGGGCTCATTTAGTAATAGGAAGAGAAACTAGTTGGCAAAATTAATCTATAACTGGATAATCAGACACATTGAAAGTGTTAATTTTGGATGGCCAGGTGAGGCTTTTTCAATAATGTGCTCATTCATTTCTCTCTTGCACGGTACATTCAGGCCAATTAGCATGAAAAGAGAAATAGTTCAGTTTTATGTATTAGTAAACATAAAATATACAAAACAAAATATAAAACATAAAATATAAAACAAAATGTCCATCAAAACAACTGGCAATGACCTATTTTGAAAAATAACATCAAATTCTCCAAAGCTCAAGCCTACTTTCATGAAACCTTTCTGAACTCCTCCAGCTCACAATGACCATTCCATCCTGTAAATATTCACATCATCTACATGTCTGTATCATTCATGCACCATTTAACATTTTTTACATGTATATCTTATCTTCCCAGTAAAAGTAGGAGATCCAGAAGGTAAGTACACAAAAAGATGTGATTTTGCTTGAACACAAGGCTGTGCTCTAGTGAAAGAACAATGAACTGGGACTAAGGATGGAAAGATTAGTCATTTTACATCTTTGGATTTCCTCACTTGAAAAATGAAAAGAATATATGATCACAAAGAAACCATGGGAAAGAAAACACAAAGAATTCTAAAACAATCAAATTGTGTTGTTTTACGATATGGATTTCCTCACTTGAAAAATGAAAAGAATATATGATCACAAAGAAACCATGGGAAAGAAAAAACAAAGAATTCTAAAACAATCAAATTGTGTTGTTTTTTTCGATACCAAATTTTTATGTTTTACTATTGTATCAACATACCCTTTCTAACCACTAATCCACAGACACCTATTCCCAGCTCCATTCCCCTTTCTTCACCTCCATACTTACACATGATACAATTTTGGAGTTCAGCTCAAAGAGGAAAAAACGGTAAGAGGTTATTAAAAAGTGAAAAAGTACTATAAAATGGCCAAAAGCTGCAACACAGAAAGTACACACAAGTTATATGAAATTCATATTCCCAGAGATAACATGACTTTTTAAATCTTTTTCAAGAAAGCTCTTTATAGTGCTCTTTCACTCTTCTTTCAAATTTTAAAATTTCCCCTGCAGTTCAACCCTTCATTGCACTGGATTATAAATCTTGAAAGATAATTAAATGTAATATCTGCAGTTAAAGGTACATTTTATTAATTGTAAAACAAATTAAATCATGAAAACTTGTTCAAACCTTGTACTTTTTCTGCTGCCCAGTACTTCCCTGCAGTCTCCAGAATCCAGGCTTCATTCCTATCAGCTATCAGGAAACTGTTGTGATAGCTAAATGCCATTGTATCCTCTGTACAATTTCCACCTTGGCCATATTTTTCTAATAAATCAACAATTACATTGAGGGCTTTTTCAGCTGTATCAGCTCTTTCAAGGCCAAGTCTAAAATAAAAATATTAAGGTTCTCAGATTAAAATAAATTTCTTTTTTCTCAAATAATTTCATGCTCATGAGATTTTATGTTTACATTTAAAGTAGAAATCCCTTCATGTTAACAGATAAAATGAAATATAACTTTTAAACTTTTTTTCCTGAAGTCAATTTGGAATCATGAAAACAGTTTTTGGAGTCAAACAGACCTATGTTCAAAGTCTAAATAGAGCCTCAGGTGTCTCATATGTAAAAGGAGGAATATAAAATATAACCCATGAGATTATTGTGAAAATTAGTTAAGGTGGAATAAAGGACATTAGGTAATTCCAATGAATCATAATTTCCAAATCCTTCCTTTCTTTTTTTTTTGGTCCTTTTTGAGACCGGCCGCACCGGGCTCAGCCAGTGAGCGCTGTGAGCACACCGGTCTTCCCTATATAGGATCTGAACCCGCGGCGGGAGCAGAGCGCTGCTGAGCTCCCAGCGCCGCACTCTCCCAAGTGCGCCACGGGCTTGGCTCCAAATCCTTCCTTTCTCCCAATTAATGATATTTGGGAGTCATGAAATTGCATGCCAGTATTTCCCTGAAGCATTCTTGATACGAACTATAAAGAATCAAAGTCTGAAAAAAGAAAAAATAGAAAAATAAAACAAGAGTTACACCAAAATTTTAAATTTAGACAAGTTGTATAGTGCGAAAACATAACAGAAAAATAACCTGACAAGGTCCATGCCCAGTAGTGCTTCTTCAGTAGAAACTTCTTCTCTTCCCCATACAGCTTCATTGCCAATGCAAACTCCATGCTCATTGGCTCCCATTTCTGCCCCCCACAACCAAGCTGGGCGACTAAGGACAACAGCATATGTTTCAGGAACTTGATCAATTTCTATATAAGTACACTGTAAAAAAAGTCATAGCAACAAACAAGAAAAGTTATCAAAAAATATAATTTAGTTACCAAAAAAGTTACCAAAAAAGAAAAGTTATCAAAAAATATAATTTAAAAAATCAGTCAGAAGACATAACCATTATGAAAGAGATAAATGAAATGTAGCTATATTGAAATTTTAGTAATAAAGGCATTTCTCTTAAAACTTAATTAGAATTGACCCTAAGCACTTAACTATTCAAATATTTGCTGAGCATCTCCTATTATAAAGCATTCTCCTAAGAGATTTGTTACAAAGATGAATCAATACAGATCTTGCTTTCAAGAAACTAAGACTTGTACATTAATTAAGATATAAGAAAATATAAAGTATAAGGTCCATGAAAAGAAGTGAAGACAAGGTGATATGGAAGCTCAGGAGAGATGATTTCTAGTTGTGAAATCTTTAAACATTGTTGTAGAAGAAGATGTATGTAAGTTGAAACTTAAGGAAGCAGTTCTCAACTTCAGTGTCCAGTGTTTCTTGGTTAGTGATCTCAGTACCTATTTATACAAAGAGATAAAGTGAAAATGGTATTCCAGAGGAATAAATAGTCTCAGCAAAGGAAGAAAATATGGCCTAGTATAAAAAAAAGTCTAATATTTAATATATTTTAATATTAGTATATCAATAAAATAAAATCCAAAAAGTACATAACTTAGCTATAAAAGCATAATATTAAACTCTCATGTTAAATGGGTTTTTAAAATATATTTTTGAAAGAATCCTTTAATTAATATGTATACTACCAAGTGACTAAATGCATGTTGATAGTATTATTGCAGGGCCTAATAAACCTTTTTTGATGTGTCATAAAACTGTTATTCTCAGCGTCTGAAATGATTTTTCTTATTCTACATCAATCAGAATCCTTTTTGTCCATCAAACTCCAGCTGAAAACTGAACTCCTAGTGACTTGATCCCTAGTCTGCATTAAATGTTCCTCTTCTGCTGCCACAGCATGCTGTTCTTACTTAAATGCAGCATTTAAACCATCCTATTTTATAATAGGGTTAGTTACATACACATCCTATTCCTCTTTTTTTTTTTTTTTACTTTTTTATTTTTATTGAAACATAATTGATTGCATACATCTGTGGGGTACAGCATTAACCTATTCCTATATCAGACTCTAAGCTCCCGGAAGACAGAGTTTCCAAGTCTTGACAGCTGACTTTAAATCTCTTGCCCTATCTAACATACTTGCATATGGAAAGCAATTCAAATATTTGATCATAGAATTAACAATTTTTATTATTGTTATTTCAACTTCCTCCAAATCACTGAAATAAAAGCCCAGAAGTCTATTTTTTATTCAAATTATTTTTCAAATTTAAATTCTTGAATTTTAACTTCTATAGTCTCTGCCAAATTGCTAGCTAAGAACAGAAATAACAGTTTCTAATATTTTTAAAGAAGCATGTAGCTAACAAAATATGTATTTCACCTACCTTAAGATGTTCTCCCAGGTTATCATGAACTGCAGCAGGAAAATAAACCACCTCTTGTACTTCATCAGAGAGTCTATCTGAATTTTTTCCAAAAATAATCCTGTTATCAAATGTTGCTGGAGGTAATGCCACGAAAGTGTCACAGGAACAAGGTTCCATTTTTTAAACTAAAAATCGTAAGAAAGTTTCAAAATAAAAAGAGAAAACATTTTTAAGTACATACAAAACAAAGAATCTTACTTGATGACCAGGTATATTATTGCCATATCCAATAAAGGATTTTCATATACTACAGTACAAAAATCAATAAGAGTATGACTTGGGAATCAATCCTGTACTACAATAATTAATAAGAAAATGGCAGTGAGAACTACCTTCTTCTAGTCTACAGTTGAAATCATTTTCTAAGACCTTTCTTTCCCAATGTCTTTCCTGAATTTCCTTTCACTGTTTCTATTTTGGGAATTCCCATACGTAGCTCTACAGTTATAAAGGCTATATTCTACTATATTTGTGTGTGTATTATATATAATTAATATATTCATTATGTATACACACACACACACACACACACACACACATTCCTTTGTGTGTGTATTATATATAATTAATATATTCATTATGTATACACACACACACACACACACATTCCCTTACTGTATAGTTAAATTCTGGAGGGCTGGAAGTATGCCTTATTAATTTTTGTATTCTCATCACTGGAACTTATCTTACGGAAAAAATCTATATACCTAGTATTTTCTCAAAGAAAGGAAGAAAGGGCCTCCTTTGACCTGGGGAAGAAGACATATAGACTACAATACTGGTAAGACTGAAATTTTGAAACAGACTCATTGATTCAAATATGAAAATATGTCAATAAAATTCTAATTGTTAATATTTCTAGGAGAAAGTTCACACATGTAACTTCTAAATTCTGATTGCTGAATTTAATATGTAATTATGTCTTCGATTGTAATTTGGAAAATCTTAAATCCTCAGTTTTAGTAGAACACCTAAGTGTCCTATACTTTTTATTTTGCTTTCAGAATGAACATTGTTTTATAAATTTTCTTCTTTCCTTTACTTTATAATGTTCAACCTTAGAATGGCTTTACACAGGCATATATTACCAATTTAAAAACAAAATTTAAACCTAATAAAAGTTTCATTAATAAGAAAACAAAATGATCCAAGAAACAAAGATGATAATCTATGTATATTCTTCCTCAAAAGGAGGGATCTCAAAGGAGACACCCTCTTCCTACCTTTAAGGAAATATTGGGTGCATAAGATTTTTTCTCTATAAGTTCCTGTGATGAGAATACAAAGATTAATAAGACCTGCTTCCAGACCTGAAGGATCTCACTGTCCAGTAAGAGGATTCACATACTGTATGTACACTTCCGCCTGACACTCCTAAGGGTTTTTCTCTTCTCAGTGATGGGAAGAGAGAGAAGTTACCATTGTTTCTGTTCTTTTCTTTGTGTATTTCAGTCTTTATGTCCTGGATCTCCTTCTATTTGTGTTCCATAGTTCCACCACTACATAACCTTGCCAGGCTATTTAATCCCTTTCTCTATGCCTCTTGCGTCATCAGTAAAATAAAAGGTACTATCTAATGCGGCTATTATAAGAATTTCTATATTTATGTTTATTTTTTATTTTTGAGACTCCTCAAATGCAGTAGTGAGACGGGAGTAAAGAGTATAACAAGGAGTTTGATCTGTAACTGACTGTGAACAATGAATTGAGATAACTCTCTACCTTCAAACAAGCTAGTTTCTATACTGCTAACAGAATACTTAATTTACATAAGCGCTTCTTTTTAAGCCAATTAAACAGAGCTTTTTTTTTTTTTTTATTTTTGGCGGCTGGCCGGTATGGGAATCTGAACACTTGACCTTGGTAAGCGTTTAATAAGAATATGCAAAGCATTTTGCACAGTCATGGAACATAGTAGACTCTCAAATGAAAGATATTATTATTAGGCAGAAGAGTAAATTTCTCACAAAAGGCTTACTTTTAACATCACCCCCTCTAAAGGACTTGGTTGGTGACTTCCGTACAGCAGTAGCAGCCAAGTCCACTCAAAACCCTGGAGTCCCCAGGGCCATCAAAGTGCACTAAGTGACCGGAGCTGTCTGACTGTGGTCGTAGGAGAAGCTAAGGAAACTTGCCCCGTAGTTAGAATGCAGCCAAGTCCACTCAAAACCCTGGAGTCCCCAGGGCCATCAAAGTGCACTAAGTGACCGGGGCTGTCTGACTGTGGTCGTAGGAGAAGCTAAGGAAACTTGCCCCGTAGTTAGAATAGCATCTAGCCCACTGAGGAGGTAAAGCCTTGAGAGCCTTTACTAACTCCTAACGCGTATTCATCATCCAACAAACGTCTACTGAATCTCCTTCTGCGCCAGGTACGTACAGCTGGAAACAGCTGGGAACAAAACAAACTGGGTCCCTCCTCTTTGTGGAGCTGATATTCTATTTCACATGCTTTAGTTCACCACACGCTTTCAGAAACGTCACATCGTCTGATCCTCACAAATGTAGTACAGTTAGGACGAGGATTACTATCTCCATGACACAGATCAGAAAACTGGTGCACAAAAGTTTTTGCAACTCGAGTCAGAGTTCACAGAAAGCGGTCGGCTCGAACTTCAAGCACCTCTTGCGGAAGACCCGCCGCCGTCCACCTCGCACCCCAGCCTGCCGCGCTCAAATTGCAGTTGGTACAGCTGGGCCCGGAGCCCCACGGACAGGCAGCGTCGCGCCCCACTTCTGCCTCCCCAGTTCCTACCTCAACTGTGCATGCCCTTCCTCCGTGCACGCCCCTCACCTGGCCTTCCAGCCACCCGAAGTGACAGGGAGAAAGGGCGAGGAGCTGCCGTCAGAAGCTTCAGTTGCCGGAAGCTGTCACCTTTGACCTCGGAAGTTCCCGCTGAGGTTGGAGGCGCAGTTCCGGGTAGGCGGGAGAGTTGTTTACTTTGCTCACAGATCTAGCCGCTGCCTTCCCCAGCTCAGGCTTCAAGATGGGGAAATCCTTCGCCAACTTCATGTGCAAAAAAGACTTTCATCCCGCCTCCAAATCCAACATCAAAAAAGTGAGTAACGAGACCCTGGAGGGACTGGCTCCCTGCGGCTGGGTTCCCAGAGGCTGCTGAGACTGCTGATGTCTCTGGGTTCCCTGGGACAATCACCTCTTCTCCAGGCCTAAAGCCCTGGTTCTCTCACCTTTTCTCCGCTGAGCGACTCGCTGACGAAGCGGGTCCTCAACGTTTATGCTACATCCGCGAGGAGATGGGAGATCCTCGTCGGTTCTGTGGGCTAGAAAATAAACTCATATAAGTGGAGGCAGATGTTAGAGTTCCTCAGTGCACTTCTTTCACCTGATTCTGGTTTTGTTTTTTCAGATCCCAGGGGATCACGGCTTCCTAGCTCTGCACCCTGTACAAAAAAGACTGCCTGTTTATTTAAGATAGATGTTAAAAGATAAATTCACCCCTTGCCCCTACTCTTCATCCAGCCCGATAATGTAGCCTCTGTTTGGTGATCTCGTTGAAGTTTAACGTTTTGAATAATTAATTACAGATCTACTAGGTGCAGTACAGAAAGACGTGCTGAACATTTATTTTTATTTTATTTTATTTTATTTATGGCGGCTGGCAGGTGCGGGAATCCGAACCCTTGACCTTAGTGTTATAACACCGCTCTCTAACCCACTGAGCAACCGGCCCGTGCTGAATATTATACCAGTGAAAAAGTGAAGTAGAAAGTGTCTGAGTTAGGGATTCTAGTTATTCCAGCACAGTCATTTTTAGTCTTGAGACCTTGCACGAAACCTTTAATATCTCTGATCCTCAGTCTTCTAATCTACAAATTAAGAATAATTGATATCAGTTGTCTTGACTTGTAAAATTGTTGTGAGGATTAAATGAGATGGTGTAGATAAAGGATTTGAAACCTATCACTGTGTCCACCACACAGACCGGATGCTCAATAAAATGTTAATTCCCCTACACAAAAACTTGTGAAAGGGAACTAAGCTTTCTGTTGTTTTTAAAACCAGTTACAGTGAGTTATATATAGTTTATATATATTTAAAGTATGTTACCATTTATGTAAAAAGAATGTGTTTCCATGTGTTATATATGTATTCTTCTGCATATATGTGCATTAGAACATCTTCAGAAGAACATACAAGAAATGGATAACATTGGGTACCTGTGAATACAGCTACTTAATTTAAAAAATAAGTAACTTTGAAAAACCGAAACTTGCTATAAAGCATATTCTGTGAAACCAGCCTTACTCCTTGCTCCCCCAAATTAATCACTGTTTTATTCTGTTTCTTTAACTTGGGCATATTTCTAGACATATTTCTTTAACTTGGACATGTTTCTATTTCTTTTTTTTTTTTTTTTTTTTTTTTTTTT